ATATAAAATATAAAAATATAATACAATATTTATACTTAAAAATTTATAAAAATATATGAATTTAATATAAAAATTTATACAAAAATAATTAAAAATACTCTAATTAATGAGTTAAATAAATCTTAATTTAATTGATTAATTATTAAAATTAAAATTTATTTTTTTATAATTTACTAAATAAAAAATATATTAAATATACTCTTAATCCATAAAACAAAAGTTAAAAGAAAAAAGAAAAAGAGTCAAACACCAATCAACTATCAAGTAGAGAGAAACAGAATTGTCTATTTTCTCCCAAGAAGTGTGAAAACAATTAAACAACCCCTACTTTTCCAAGAATTTTCGAACTGCTGAAAGCATCAAATAGGTTAGGTGGCATGCTCAACTTCCCTTTCTTATTTCTGATTGTAAAGACTTAACTACGGTCTACCAAGAGAATAAGACCAATGAGCTTGATGATTTATCACTAAATTTTAGAGATTGGTACAAATAATTAAAATTTTTATTCTCACCATTTATTTTTAAAAATTTAATTTTTTCTTCGAAAACATTCTTATAATTTAATGGTCACTTCTCTTTTCTTAAAAACTTTTCATATTTTATAGTTTGGCAATATAAGATTCAAATTCTACCTCCAAACTTCAAAAAAATAAAAATTCCTCCTTTCCTATCAATTTCACTATATTCCAAAAAAAAAAAAATTATGGTCTACCAAGTACTATTAACATAAGAAAATAGATTGGTGGATCCATCATTTCACATGTTTTAACAACGATCAATAACGAAACGAGGAAATCCGTGGGTAAAAGATTACGACTATACATATACATGCAGCAGAAGAAATAATGGGACAAATTAATAGCAAGGAGAGAGAATCGTTACCTGGAGGTGGGGACACAGTCGACCCAGTTGGAGACAGAGCGTCTGTAACAGGGAAATTTCAGGAGATGAGTATTACTACAACTTTACAAACCAAAGTAATCAAAAATCAGTATAAGCGACAATTAATCACATAGTGGGAAATTTCGTCAACAAAAATAGCATACAAGAAATATCACATATCCCCACATAATAAATTCATGAATTAAGGTACTGAACACGTTTAAAAACCATAGCACAAAAATGAAATTAATCTATCTAACACCGAAAAACAGGCATGGATAACGTGAATGGTTGAAAGTGGAGATAACTAGGTACATACTGGTGCAGTTGTTGAAATTAATACTGATGCCGCAGTCGTGGGTTAGCTGGAGGGCAGCGGAGATGGTAACGTTGTAGGACTCAAGCACAGAAGGATCGTTGTAAAGGGTACTGTAATTGCACCAAACCCGTAGTCCTTCTTCAGTCCGCGCTTGTACTTCGAAGTGACCTGCAAAGCCCCGAGATGGAACTCGGGGTAGACACTCCGATGCTTAAGTCAGCAATAATCGGGACTACCTTTAAGGCAGAGATAAAAAGAGCTTAGGGTTGGTTTCAATTACCTTTTTGACGTGGCCCGGGGGGGTATTTATAGGATCCAATGAGGAACCCACGTGGCATGCCAAGCAAGATAATCGGAGCCTGAGGTGTCTATCCAAACGATTATTCCGGGACTGGGAATTTGAGAGGTATTCAGGTGCACGAGCGTCCACCATATCTGCTGTGCCACTCATCATAAGGAATCAAGTGCGGGTATGCTTATTGTTGTTATCATACAACTACTTGAGCGGGAAGCTTTGGATTCATTCCTCACTTCGGTCATAAAGGGATTACTGTAGCAGTCCGAGTCTTGGCACCTCGGACCTGTCC